GGGGCCAGGGACCTGGACAAGGATGGCTTCGAAACCATCCTGCCCCCTGGAGAAGGGCTTATTTGCTTGGCAGATGGCAGGCAAATGTGGAGGGCAGGGAGGGAAATCTTGGGAGAGGGCCACACGGAAGTGGGCTGTGACCCACATCACGCCTCAGTAGAGTAGGAACCATCCCATCCCTTGGCCTTGGGTTTTACATGAGCCCCGCCTTCTCCAAGGACTCTGTCCAAGAGAAGGCAAATTCCTTTTCCTGTTCAGCTCAGGGACAGCCTGGGTTTCTTTGTCCTCTCCCATTATCCAGAATCTTAGGTCGCTCTGACCCCTTTTCTTGAAACCAAAGGCCCCAGACCCCCCCCACACACAAAGGGGCTTCAGCTACCTGGAAGGCACCCCCTCTCCAGTCAAGGCTTAAGGACAGCGTTGACTCCCTGTGCTGAAGAGGAAACTGGGGTTCAGTGGAGTAGAGGCCAAGACTCTGGGCCTCCCAGACCCCCCAGAATGTCAGTAGTACAGCCAAGTTTCCCATGTACAGTTGGAAAAACTGACGCCCACGGCCTAAAATCTGTGCCTCCCTCCACCCTCTGTAAACCCTCCCTCCAGCTCTGAAAAGTGGGCTCAGAGCAAGACCAGAAACCCCTGACCTGAGAAAGGAACCTGGCACTAGAGGGGGCTTCGGGGACCAGGCCAGAGGGGCAGCGTACATCCTGTTCCTGTGGGCTGGTGAAGCCTGCCTCCAGGACCCGAGGGGAGCGCAAGCTGCAGCAGGCGGGCAGTGTGGAGGAAGATGCTAAGGAGAGGGGAGAGGCGAGAGGGGGCCCGGGGAGAGGCGAGAGGCCCCGGCCTCACGCCTCGGCGCTTCTTCAGACCCGCCAGTCCTGGGATGCCTGGCCCTACTAGGGGGATGGGGTGCCTAGAAACGGCTCAGACATTGCCAGGCCCCTCCGGCCCCCTCAGGGCTCCCCACTCCCAAATGTTTAAAGGGCAGAGGGGGCACAGGAAGCCTGGGGGCGGACAATGGAGCCTCTGTCATGCAAGGCATTCCTAAGGCATGAATGCAGGCAGCCAGGGGAGGGGCCAGAGGGCACCCCCCCAACTGGAAGCCCCATATCATGCAGGGAGGCATGCCAGCCTCTGAGGCCACCACCATCAGGTTCACCCCTTCCTAGCATAGGCCCAGTCTGGGCATCTGAGGGGACCCATGTGGGCACAGGAAGATCTGTGTGCACACGCTCTCTCACACACACATCCACACACTAATGCACGCATGCAGCCAGATATATGATCCCCACACATGCAAATACTGCAAGCTACACACATCCACACAACCAAAGCCACCCCCATATAAACCTCCAGCTCAGCTGCCCTCTCCCAATTTGCCTGGCTGATTGTTTTACACAGGAGAGCTGAGGGGAGGGGGCTCTTGGGGACTCATCCTCTCCCTTCAAGCTCCACCATCAGACCGACATCGAGACAAGCACTTCAGAAGGCCACCTTGGCCCACTGCACAAAGCCCAGGATGCTTTCACCCTCCTGCTCCACCCAATCCAAGGCCGACACAGCTGTCTTTGCTGGGTTTAGGGCCAGGGACTGACATGAGTGTCAGGACAGTGGCTGGGTGCTCCCTCTGCAGCTTCATGACCTGGGAGAACATGGAGGACCCAGGCAAGTTCCTGAGGCCTTGGGTGGGGGGCACTGGACAAAGGGAAGCTTCTGGAAAGACCAGCAGTCCAGGTTCTCCCCTTGCAGAGGAACTCCCCACTCTCTGGGTTCCTCCCTCTCTTCAACCTTTAGGAAACCACAAAGATCCTGTTGATAGGGGGAGTGGGGGGAAAGCAGGCTGGCCCTGCTAACCCCCTACCCCCCAGTCCTCTGTCTGGAGGCCACCAGGCATCCCCTGTCCACCCTCCAGGTCACACGAGGCCCCCACGGGAGCTGTGGACCCAACCCAAAGTCATGGAGCCCAGTGGACGTGTACTGGGTGGCTGACACACCCGTGCTGAGGCTCAGAGCTCAGAGGGGCCAAGTTCAGTTGGGAGCAGGACAGGGGAGAGGTGGTAAGGCAGGAGGGGAGAGGAGCCCGAGACAAAAGGGGAAGCAGAGAAAGAGGCAGAGCCCAGGGCCCCTACAGAGAGGGGTGGGGCAGGCAGGGAAGGACAGGAAGAGAGGAGCGCAACCCCCATTGAAATGCTAACTGAGCAAGGAGGGGAAAGGTGATGGTCTGGGGGGCATAGGTGGAGTGGCCGGCAGCTGACAAGGAGAGAGCAGGGGGGCAAGAAAGCAGAAGCGGGGTGTCTAGGATGGGCACAGGGCCCCACCTAGGGACCTAAACCCAACCTTTCCAATCAGGGGACGAGGGAGCAGGGCAAAGACAGCAGCCAGCCTGGGACCCTAGAGGGGGGATTCAGAGCCCCTGCCTCCCCTATTGATCCCTACAGGGTGGGGCAGGGCCCCTGGGGCTCCCTCCCACAGAGGGGGCCTGGTGAAGTAGAGCGGTTGGCTGGGATGCCAATCCTCGACTCCATTCTCCCCCAGAGCAGGCCCTTCCTAGGCCCAAGGCGCCCGCCCCTCCCCACCCCAGAGCTGTTTCAACCTTTAGCCCAGGAAAATCTTCCATCACACCTTCGTTTTGGCTCTCCTGGAAGCTGGGTCACTCTGCAAGGCCACATGGCTCTCACTGCCCAGAAGAGTGCTCCAGAGGCGTTCTCTCCAGCTGCAGCCATTTAAAGTGGCACCAGGGAATGTTTGCCTTGAAAGGGACCTTGGAGATGAACAAGTCCGTGCCCTCATGTGATAGCCAAGAGAGCTGACACTCGAAGACAGGGAAGGGACCGAGCATCCGGAGTCACTGGGCTGAAGAGTGGCAGGTACGACACAGGGGCTGCCTCCTCCAGCCTCCCCAGCAGGTCCTGGCACAACGAGGCTGATGGAGTGGAGCCTGAGAGCCTTTGCCCACTGGAGAAGGCCTCACAGAAAGCCCTTCTTCACACCCTGCCTCCCTTTCCCCTTCAGGTAGTCAGTCACAAAGGGAACAAGAAAACCAGTACGTGCCCTCTGAGGATGAAGATGGTGTTGGTCTGGTTTGTTATTGGCTTTTCCACGGGCAGTCATGAGTTGGCCCAAGTGGGCACTTGGCAGTGAGCAGCTGCCCAGCGAATGGGCCACTGAGCTCCTGGGCAGGGAGGACCTCATTATTGTGCAGGGAGGGGTCACCACCGCCTAGGGGAGCTGTGTGCCCACTCAGTGCTCTGCAGGGGGCTGGGCACTAGGAGCAGCTTGTAGCAAACCAAGGAGACTGAGGCTGGGGTGTGCTGAGCAGGCTTTTCTCTTAGCGATCAGATCACCGGTGATCCTTCATCCCTTTTGTTCTTTTCTATATATTTCAAGTGTACCACAATAAGATGTACTACCTTTGGGATCGTGCGTGCACACACACAGACATAAATAAGTATGGAGAGAGAGAGACTAAGAAATGGCCAGGAGCCGGAGAGTCCCAGTCCCAGCCCTAACCTGAGCTGCGCTTGCCATGTGGTCACAGACAGCCAAGAGCCCCGAAAACTCAGGAGCCCATGGGTACACATGCCGGCGCTGCGTGGGGGTTGTGCCAGGTGAGAGGCCGGCCCAGCTGAGTCCATTGCCTGCAGCAAGAAGCCAGTCAGAGGCAAGAGGCCCCAGGCAGGCCCCTGCCCCAGCCACCCCACAGGGGACAAGGACGATGGGGCTCCGTAGCACTTCATTGGAAGAAAGGCTGACTGGATTATTCACCGTCAGGGCTCCATGAGTCAGCAGAGATGGCACTGGGCTGCCCAGAAGCCCCTGCCCTCAGGGAGGAGTTAACTGGAAGCAGGGCACCTACTTGGAGGAGGGTGCCAAGCCCTCGCTTCTTGGAGTGGGCAGATGGCCCTAGGCCTGCCTCCTGGACACAGGCAGTGATGGGCGGGGCTCCAGATATCCTGTAGGGGGCAGCAGGTTGTACTAGGTGTTCTTCGCAACCCCTGCCAACCAAGAGACTCCCAAAATCTGCCCTAGGAAGGGGGGAAATAGGAATTGCAGACCCTCCCATAAATGAACAGAGGCGGGAAGCCTTGGCAATGGGCATAAGACCTGCAGTGGGCAGGGGCAGGGCCTCAGCTCCAGCGTCTTGCTTTCCAGGATTCCTGGCCCTGAGCCAATGAGACCCTCCCTCCCTCTCCTCTACCTGATGGACCCACATTCTACAACCATGTGCAGAGGACCACACTGGTGGGTGCCCAGGCTGACCTCACTGGCTGCACCCTTTCTTGGCCACAAGAGCCTGCAGAAACTGAGGCTCCAGATGCACCCTGCATCTCTGGGGAGGAGATCCCCAATCCTGTTGCAGTCTTGGAGGGGAGCCCCAGGGAGTCCAGGCTGGGGTTTAGAAAAAAGAGGGAGGAGAACAAAGCCCCCATCCCCATCTTGGGGCCAGAGGGCCAGGCAGCGCCCAGCCCTGTTCCCTCCCCTCCCATTGCAGGGGCAGCCTAGCCCAACCTCCCTCCCCCCACCACACGCTGGCGGCCGGATTTTCAGTGGAACAGGGACCTCCACTGGAGAAGATGGGCAGCCACGCCCAGGGCCACACCCCACGGCAGCCGATGGTGGGGGGGGGTCACCAAGCCCCATCGGGCTCCCTTTTTCACACACGCACACACCTTTAAGGACGGTCCAACTTCAGCCCCCATCTGCCCGCACAGACCCTGCTGGACTGCCCCCCGGAGTGTCCCTCCCCTGGTGGGCATTTTGGGCGCCGCCCAGGTACCCTTCACCTGTCGGACTCCAACCCCGGCTTCTTTCCCCAGCCTTGTTCCGGTCCGCAGGGCCCAGAGCTGGGGGCCCGGCCTGGGTGGGGTTCCTGCCGCCCAGCCCGTGACCGCCCGCCAGGCGGAGCAGAGCTGCCCGCTCTGGCCCCCGTGGCAGGGCTGGGATGGGGGGCCGGGGGCGTCGCAGCCGCGGCTCGGTCGCGAGGGCAGGCCTGCCCGCCTTACCTGAGCTACAGCCGCC